ATTTTAAACTGCGTTTTGTTGATTTGGAAAACATTGACATCCCTGATTGGATTATTGTGCCATTTTCTGCTCAAATTGAAAACGTGGACATCAACCTGCAAGATGAGCTTGCTGAATTATTATGGGGATTTGAAGCAAAGACGCTTTTTAAAAATTTAACAATAAGCAAATTTTGGACAAATATAAATATAATGCAAAAATATGTAAGACTTTACGAAATAGCTCAGCCATTTATGATAGCATTTCCAAGTTCCTATAGGGTTGAAGCCGGTTTCAGTCACGTAAATTCAATCTTAACTAAGAACAGAAATAAATTAAATGTGGATTTTCGAGAGGGATTTAAGATTAAAATTGACAATTTTGAACCCAATATAACGAACCTTGCAAAAAAAAAAATACCAGGCACGCCCATGTCATTGATTTAGAAGCAATAAATCCGTATTTACTTTACTTATTATTTCTACTTACTTATTATTTCATAAATATTAAGGTATTTATGTTTCAACATTATATTTTTCATAAAACTATTGTTACACTATGTACTATTACTTTAATAAATGTTCAAAATCATAAAATAAATGTACAAATACAGTATCTAATAGAGTTTTATTTTAATTAACAGAAAATTACTTTTATGGGGGTCGATGGAGATTTCGAAAAATTATGTAGGGGTCGATGATCAAAAAAGTTTGACAACCCCTGGTTTAACCAAACATTAAAGCTGTAACGGTTGCTCGCCATGCAGATCCACGTGTTCAGACACAACTATGTGAATGTGTTGCCTCCCATTAAGGGGACACAGGTTCAAATCCCAGTGATGGCTGATCGATACCAATTCTGCACTGGGCTCGCACTGTTTACACGTTTGACGTTAAATGTCTTCAGTGATAGACACATCATGGGTTAGAGTCTCTTTGCAGTGAAGGCCCGGGGAATAGAGTGTTCGCCTTCCAATGAGGTGAACCGGGCTCGAATCCCAGAAATGGGTGGTCTATACGAATCCGCACCCAGCTTGCACCGACCACAGTGCTGACGTGAAATATCCTCAGTGGTAGACGTATCATGGATTTGAGTCTCTTTGCCGTCAGGTTAACCTTGAGAGGTTTTAGTGATTTTTCCTCTCCGTGTAACGTAAATGCAGGTTAGTTCCATCAAAAAGTCCTCCACGAAGGTAAATTTCTCCTTATATTAAATCATAATTTCCTTTCTCTCGTGGAATGGATTCAAGATTACAAGGCTACGGAGTTAAACTCTAATAGTCGTAAATTCAGAATTGGGTTGACTGTTCAACGACGGTTATAAAATAAATAAAAGTATCCAATTGAAGAAATCAGTAAAATAAATTTAAAAAAATGTATTTGTACAAAATACTGCTATTGTGCAAAACAATCATAAGAATAGAGCTCACACGCATACTTGTACATATGTAAATATCTCATGACAACAGTATAATTTTGAGAACATTCATCAACTAAAAAACTATTACAAGTTATTTATTATATTTTATTGCTCTGTTTTTAAATTATATTTTTTAGCTAAACAAATTTGTTTTAGAGATTAAGAATCAAAAAGTAACTTATTGATAACTTAGTTATTAAAATAATAATGAAATCGAATAAATTCTCTAAATAAATAAGTTCAAAAATGCTCAAATGTGATAAATTAAGCTTGTTATAAGCAATAATTTAAATAATTGTCACAAAATTCATAAAAGCAATATTTTTGTTTACAAATTTATTAATATTCGTCCAAATAATTTTCATGAAATCAAAAAACTCTTTTTTTAAATTTTTTACCTAAACACTTAAATTTTTTAAGTAACCAGAGTCGGAGTTGAGCAATCTCTTCCACTCTCACTCTTGCACAATTTTGTTTTGATTCTAACTCCAATTCAGACTTTACAACCATTGTTAAAAGTTCTTTTTGGAATTTTTTAATCCTTTAATATTATTTTGTAATTGTTTTTAATTATGTATGAAGCAATATGTGCCAAAATATATTTGTATTTTGCTACGATATCTCAAAGTTAATTTTGTTTCGACATAATCAATTCTGTCTTATTGGATTACTAAGCCTCCTGTACGCTACCGCTCACCAACCCCGATGACTGCTTCGTAATAATTGTCATTTCATGTCAGAAAATAGTTTTTCTACTAAAGTTAAAACTATTCACTTAACATTTATGCACTGAAAGGAATTCTGTTTGCTTACGCTTGTGCCTCCATTTCCCACGTCCAAATATTATCATCTAATTTTTTAAAATAACATTTATATTGTTTTAACAGTGTATTGTTCAAACTAATTTGATGAGTTCGCCACCGTAATTTAATATTTTCGTTTACCAAACGGGCGGATATATTAAATATTATTTTTTCTGGCATCGAATTGTGCGTAAAGCTGATCGTTTAGTTTTAAATCATTTAATAGATATTTATAACTGTAATTTATTAAAGTATATTAATGTTATTTGCACAAAGATAATAATTGTAAAATGGTTAATAAAATTAGACTACGTTTCTAAATAGCTTTATCTTAAAATGCAACGCAAAATTACATTATAATAACTATAAAGAAAGAACAAAAATTCTTTTAGCTTTTAAACTCTTGAATTAAAAGCGTAATAATACTGTACAGGAAAATAACTTCAAATTAGGGATACAAAAATATTTATAGAAAAACAATATCTTTATAGCATTTACTAATTTTATGCTGATGACAACCAAAACAGTATGGAAATGAATGAGCAAAAACTGGATCCTACCACGTGATTAAATTGCCCATAAAAATGCACGAACAACAACTGCGATATCATCATTCAGAAACTAAGTTTTACTACAATAAATGGATAATTTTCAACAATAAATTAGACTATTAAACTTTTCAGTAATAAATAAGCTAACTTTCACAACGCTAAGAAAAGAAAATAATAAAAATAATAAGCTTATATTTATTCTTATCTATTTATGTTCATTTTTTTTCTAAAATCGAAATCCATAAATAAGCGCTGCCCTGGTGGTTGTTTATGAAACTATACTCCGTCAAAACATAATTCTATTAAAAATATTATTTATTTAGAGGTGCTAAAATATGCAATAAAAATTATAGTCCCGCAGTAAAAGGTGCTACATCAAATAACAGCTAGGCATCAGCTCGAGCATTGCTTATTTTCGAACGAAATTTTTCCAACCCTCCTCCTTTTTTGTATCTAACGACGCCGGCGCGCACTGTTCCAGCTGTTTTTCGATCAAGGCGTAGGAAATTCCGGAACAGAAGACTAAAGTGTCATGGCTGCTGGGAGTGGCGCTGCCGACAGAAAGGCTCTCTCAGAATATGGCGAGTTCATTTCGATCTTTTACCTGTGACGGGCGAAAGAAAAATCCTCGCCAGTAAAGCCAAATCCTTAGAAAAAGGAATTTTTCCCCAGTTAGGCACACATAACTGTTCTATGTCAATTGTGATAATAGATCTGGATGTTTGTGGATAGGTTATAGTGTGGATTTATAAAAGAAGAACTGTTTAGTCCATTAAAAAAGGTATGTGGCGATATGATTTTATTACTTTTTATTACTCCTAGAACACCGGTTAGGATTGGGAAAACGAATGAGCGGAATAGTATTCCAAATGAAAAAAAATATTTATATTTGTTTAAAATACCTTAAAAATCTATTTAATTTAGATGCTTATAACGTAATTAAAATAAATTTTTACGATGAATGAAATATGTGTTTTTAGAGGAAAATACCTGTTGTGTTGGAATTTACTGAAATAGCTTTAGAATATATATATATATATATTCAATTAATAATACAAATCAATTTAATAATTAGACTAAAAAATTCAACTAATCATTAAAGAAATTTGTGTTTATTAGAAGGAAATGCCTGTTATGTTGAACTAAAAGAAAGAGCTTTGTACTTATATCAATCGAATTATTTTTAATTCTATAATAAAATTCAATTCAATGATTCAATTCAAAAATTAAATACACTCTTTTTAATTTGTGCTTATTTGAAGGGAATATCGATTGAGTTGAAATTCACTTAAAAAACCGTTTTAAGAAAATATACATATCATTTAAGAATTTTAATTCAGTATAAATTATATTAAACAATCACATAAAGTTGGTGTGATTATAAAAATTACTATTTTAAATATAAGTTACAGGGAAACATATTTTTCTAAAGAGGAAAACAAATTGAATGATAGTCACTGTTTATGTAGGTTTGAAGTAGAGAATGCTGTTTCATATTTAGAGATTGATATTTCGTTTAAAAGCGTTTTTTTAGAATAATCTGAATTTAATTTTAAGATTAATTGAATCATACATTTATATCATTAAAATAAAGTTTTATGGTTACAAAAATATGTGTTTATGAAAAGAAATATCTGTGGGTTTAGAAATTACTTAAAATGAAATTTCGGAATTTATTTTTGCTTAAATTATGTAAAAGAATAACTCATTTTTTTGAAAAAAGTCTTTTAGGATGAAGTAAATTAAATTTAAACTTCATTAAAATATATCTTAAGAATTATGAAAAAGAATTGAATGTTAAATGTTATGTTAATGCTTATACATTGGTTAGGTATAAATTTATTTATAGATTTGAATTACAGTGATTTTAATATATTTCAAGGTGAATTTGTTTAAATAATTATCTAAATTCCTTCAATTTAGTCATCAAAATAAAATTAAACGGTTACAGAAATGTATGCTTAATTAAAGAAATACCTGTTGGGTTAGATTTTACTGAAAATCAAATTTAGAAAAATGTTTTCGGTTGAACTATGTATAATAATCACAGTTTTGTAAAATTTTGTGTGAATAAGAAAATTTAATTTGGATTATATGCTTCAATAAAATATATTTCACTTGCTATGAAAATTAACTGAAATATAAGTACCTGTTGGGCTAAAATGTACTTAGAATCAATTTTAAAAAATTGATGTTTTTAAACTGTATGGAATAATGATATTTTTGTAAAACTACTTGGGTATTTGCAAATAAAACTAAATTTGAATTTTAAAAAATATGTTTACTCGTTTTAAAAATCAGTTTGAGTATAATAAAATTTCAAAATTTTTGTTTTATCGTAGGATATAATATTACAATTTATTGAGAGTTAAATGTTGTTTAAGGATTAAGCAGAATTACTTAAATTTAAATAATGATGTTCATTTAATTAAGTTCCGAGTTCAAAACTAGTACGTCCTTATTATAACATATAATACCTGTTGTTTTAGAATTTAGTTAAAATAAACTTTACTAAAATTATATGTAGTAGTTTTTGAAAATGATAAATAGTAGAAACAATAAATTTGAATTACATATTCCAGGATAAATTTATAAACAAATGATAATTTTGTGTAATTTTGAACATTACTTAAAAATGTTGTTAAATGTTATGTTTAACTTTGTTTGTATCCTTTAATAAATACTTTTGATGAATAAAAACTAAAAACTTGAATTATATGTTTAACGATGGTACATTATGTCCAATAATATAATTAATACGTTACCTTAGATTCAAGGTACACTGTGAAAAGTGACGGTAAATAGTACCGGTATTGTAAAAATTTCCAGATCAAATTACGGTGAGAGTACTGGCAAATTACTGTTTATCGTAAAATCCATTTTCACACAAACATGTCAAGGAAGAAAAATTTGATATACCGTAATTTTTACTGTAATAATAAATATAAAATCACAGATTCACTCTATTTCAATAAATATTATCTGTAAAAATTATCGTAAAAATGAATTTTATGTTAAAGATGATTTGTACGGTCAAATGGATTTTACGGTTTATGCTCGAAAAAGTGTCAGTACTTCCTACAGTAATTTGATTCAGAATTTTTTACACAGCATGAAATAACAGAAAACGATACTATTGTGAAAATGCTTATTGCATCTATTATCTGATGTGATTCATCCAAATTAATCGTTAATATTAATAACAATTAATAATAAAATGCATCTATAACTAAATACAACAAACTTCAAATCATCAAAAATGGAAGAACAAATCCTCCAAAATCCTTATTAAATTCATAATTATTAACATCAATATCATATTAAATGCTATAAATAAACAAAACAAATATCCATTTCAAATTTATCAGAATTAATCATTAATATTAATATTTATGAACTGCATCGATAAATTAATGAAAAAAAATTTTTTCTTCAAATTCTATAGAATTTATGATTAACATTTATATCATATGAAATACAAACTTATAAGTAAAACATTGCAGGAAAAATTGTGCTGTTTGAAAATATCACTTTGCACAGTAGGCTTTACTAAGCAGTTGTTAACTTTTTAACCGGAAGTAGTAAAAGTAAAACCTCGAGGTTCGTTTGTGCTTATGTTTGACAGAAAAACACCATCCATAAAAATAAACATACTCATTTTTCTAAATAAACAAAAAATTGACATGGTTTAATAAAAATTATTGCGATATTTTTGAACAAACTGGGTCAGATTTTTATTATTGTAAATCCGTAAAAACACGGAACTTGAATTTTGTACAAATTTAAATTGGATTTTAAAATTATTTTAACACGAAATTAAAACTATATATAAAACTATTATTTCATTTGTTTTGTTAAAAAATGTGGTCTTCTTTAAACAACAAATATTTTTCTTTCAAATGAACTTAAATTAAAGAGTTCTACTTCTAAAATTTTATCATTAAGTGTATCTGCTGTTTACGGCTAATTATTTTAGTAGCTTTTTGATGGGGTAATTTGTATTATAGTTATGTATACAAAGCAGAGGTGTGGGAATGAGTTAATCTATCGCGAATGATTGATTCAGAATGAAATTTTTCAAAATTTCAGATCTCTTTAACTTTATGCCTCTAAAACTTTATGCCAAATGTATTTTTATCAATTGAAACGTTTAATGAATTTATTAAGTTTCAAAAAATTAAATGAAAGAAATGTTCCAGTAAAATATTTGTTACAAAATGCCATTGATTTTAAAGTTGTTGTGAAGAGTTACTTTAAATTGCACATACTGATAATAAATTCTTTGTCTGCTATGGAAATGATAAAATTAAAGTTAATAAAAGAAAATTACGAGTCATTTTTTTCCTAGCTAGTTACATAGAAAGGGATTAGCCCCTGTAAAAGTGTTACTCCACAACATGAGAAAACGCGCAGAAAAATTACCTACCTCATTGTTCAACGCGTGCTTGCAATTTTCTCTTAACAATTCTATGTTAGGAAAATGGCTATCGCTTTCCATTTAATATTTGTAAATGATTTTTCTCATAAATTGGCCTATTATTGCGAATTTAATGCTCCATTAAGTTTGAATTTCGTATTTTATTTATTAAGAAATATCTGTTTTCGTTAATTTAAACTGTACTATTTTATTTTCCATCTAACATAAATAATATGAATCGATATTATTCAATGTAATCGTTTTACTAATGTTTTGTTACATACTCTGATGTTTTACACGTATAATAAAATTTAAATTTTAGTATTTTCTGATGCCTTTTAGAATGTCGTTTTTGCTACATATAGAACTATTTTAATATCATTTTTTGTTACATTTGAAACTATTTTAATATCGTTTTTGCTACAGTTAGAACTGTTTTGATGTCCTTTTTGTAACATTTAGAACTATTTTAATGTTGTTTTCGTTGCATTTTAAGTTTTCTTTAAGGCTTTCTTTTACGAATTGAGTTATTTTAAAACCACTTTTGCTACACTATGAATTATGTAAGAATAATTTTCAAAAATAAAGCAGTAGATTGTCTTCTAAAAGGTGAGAAAAAATAGTTTTATAGTTTAATTAGTCAAAAAATGTAAATAAAAATTTTAATCAAATTACATGCTTATACAAATGTCTTTAATTTTTTTAAAAAATCAATTGAGGCGGAATCTTAAATAAATTATCGAGTTTTGAACACATAAAACACTGCTCGAAAAAAAAGTATTGTGGAATATTCCATTCAAGCACACCTCGGTGAATATTCTGCAGTATTTTTCTGTTTTGCTTGAATTTCAGTTCACTTTTTATATAATATGTCGTAAAAATTAAATAAAATCAATATTTTGAAATTTTGCAGTAGTTTCAATTCACTGAAACAAATAACGCTATTTTTCTGTTTGTAAAAAATATTATTGGTTACTAAAAATGACTTATCCATAAAATAAAACAATCTTTTAGGAAATTTCTCAAACTCTTTAACGCAATTCCTATTCTGCATATTTCAATTAAAAAAAAGAGAAAGATCGCTATCGAAAAAAAGAGAAAGATCGTTATCGACTTACAGTTAATATTTACAAACGATTTTTCTCGAGCTGGAAATATGAAAGTGCATTCAATTCATCTTCCACTTGAAAATTTTCTTTTTGTTCTAATGGTTTTTTTATTATATTATTCAGCTGAATATATTATTTTCAGAATTGCGCTTAATTTAAATCTTTTTATCATTTTATTATTCATTAAATGATTCTGAGTGAAATATTTACTCAGTTTCAATTTATTGATCAAAGAAAAACGTTAAAAGGTAATGAACACATAATATCGTCTAATACAAGTAATATTGCGTCCATATCGTTATCATGATAGAAGAAATTTAGTATTTTTAAAATAAAAATATTATAGATTTGTTTTGAAGATTTTAAATTAATTTGATATCAAAAATTTTCTGTTTGACTAAAAGTTTATAAAATGTGAGAGTAATTTAAATACAATCTATATATTTCAAAGTGAAGAGTTCATATCCATAAATATTTTTCAAGACACTGTTTAATTTTTAAAGGCATTTAATGGAATTTATAAGTGAAATATTCATAAGTAATGAACTGTATATAAGCTTCGATGAATCTATTAAAGAAATTATTTTTAAATGTTACGTGCAATCAGATATTGAATATTCTCAGTCACATTAATGAAGTATTGGGGGGGGTGTAAGACAAAAGGCACGCAGTGAAGTATTTACGCAATCTAGGCTTCCAAAACTTTTTTCTATCGTTTTCCGATTCAAAATATATTTTTATTTTGGAATATTGAATAAAATACCCTTTTAAGTGTATTATATCAACCAAAAATTGTTTTATATCTGCTTTTGCACGATAGTTCTTCTTAATATTATTCAATATCATGTTAAATTGTGAAATATTAAATAAATTTGAGAACGGGCAGCAAAATTATTTGCTTGAAAAATCAATTAAAATATATGAGCATAATTCTCAAACTTTAGTTAAAACTACTTAATCGATTATTTTTTATCTTTTATTAAATAGTTTGAAAGTGCATTTTTGTATTGTTTATATATATATACGGAATATATATACACGGAATATATATATATATATATANTATCTATATCTATATCTATATATATATATATATATATAATTATTTTGTCACAAAATCCAAAAATAAAAACTGGATCTTATTTAAAAAAAATCTCTCTTTCTTTTACACTGATGAGGTTGATTTGTTCCTTTAGTGTGTAAGTTTTTTTCGCTTAGGTTTAAAAAATCTTGTAAGATATAACAGTTTTAAGTTTTTGATAATATGTTCGACAACTCCACAAAATTAAATGTTTATAGTTTTTAAAAAAGAAATTAAAAACTTTTTTGAGTGAGGCGTTTTGGACGTTATTGGGACACTGCAGATACAATAAAAAAATTGGATGTTTTTTTTTTTTTTTTTTTTTTTTTTTTTTTTTTTTTTTTTNTTTTTTTGAGATTCCGAGACAGATTTTTACAGATTTACTATGAGTACTAAAAAAAAATACTTTTTAGTACTCCTTTTTATTCACTAAATTAACTTTTAACTTAACGTTAAACTTTTGAATATTAATATACTAATTTAAAGTTGTGTCAATAAACTGTTCGGAATTATTGCGAAGTAGTTCAAGTTACGAAGAACTTATAATGCTTCAATATTATGCATTTCAAATTTATGAGAATCCCCAATCATATCACGAGTATCCTCACTATAAATCACGTCAACTTTGATAAAAATTTAAACTCACTGTGTATCGAATGTATTTCTTGAGTCAAGTAAGTAAGTTACATTTTTTTTTGTTTAAATATTTACGGTGGAAGCAAATAATAATAGTAGATGCAATATAAAGTTAATTTCAATAATATTGATATGAGGTGTGTCCGAGTGGTGAAAGGTCGTGACGAAACGGTGGTTCTGAGTTCTATTCTCTCCCTTTGAAGAAAAAGTAAATATATGTGGAGTTATTTATAATTTGAATATCTTCTAGATGCTTCTATTCCATCATTTCCATTTAACTGTATATAAGTTTCAAGTATAAACGCTCTCACCTTGTTCCATGTATATCAGATGTGTTCAATAAATCAGTGTAATTAGACATTTTCAATTCAGGTCCTTTCTACGTGACAGTATTATGATAAAAATGGCATACTTAATAAAATCAAGCTTTTCAATCAATATACATCCATTTTTAATTTTTCAAATGTAGAACTCGGTTATTAACTTTATTCTATCTCTTATTGTGACGTTTGCTTTAAATGAGATTATTTCAAAGCTTTAAAAATATAGTGGCAAAGAAAATGAAACAAGCATCGTCTCTTCCTGATTTCGACCCATTAAAGAAATTGAAATATACTTTCTAATAACGTTAGGACAAGGCAAGCTTGCCAGCCATCGACCTTTTATGAATTGGCTTTTTACCATTGGTCTTTCCCGCAAGCCATTGGCCTTATTCGGAAAGGTGCGTCTTCCGTTTGATAAGAGAGCACCACAAGAGTGAAAATACGTTTTTAGCACATCTCCAAGGATAATTGGCAGCAGCACACATTCGAAGGGCCACTTCCTCAATTTAGACATAAATCTGAAAGGGAAGGAAATTTTCTTTGGATCCCTGAATCCATGGTACTGCTTTGGGATCGAACACAGGACTTTCAATTTCACTGATCTTACGAGCACGTTTATTGTATGTATTTGTTGGGTCTTTGTGGAGATGAGGATCGAACTCCGGCCCGTAGTTCGATTCTCTAACCACTGCGCTAACCGCTCACTACCACGACCAGAAAATATTGTTGATTTTTCCTATAATAATTTTAATTTAAGAAAATATTTGTAAGCATGGAGGTAACAAAACTTTAATATTCTCAGTAACTTTAATCAAGCATATACTTATTCCCTTTTGCATGTTTTTGTGAAATTGGTAAGTGATTTATATGAAATGGATATTAAATTTTGTTCATATTTATCTTCTTAAGAAAAACTTATTATTGATTCATATGAAATTATTGAATTTCAAATAATTTTATTGCATTTATTTATATGCATTTGAGAAAATAGGTTGTCAATATTGTGCTGACATATCTTAAATATGTTAAGTTTCGTTATAAGGAAATATTTTTTTAATATGGAATTATCTATTCTCAAAATTATTAATTGCACGCATTTCATCCACAAACATCTATTCAAAGACATTTCTAAAATATATACTTTTATTACATTTACATGCAACTTATTGTGCGAAAATAAATGTAAATATTAAAACGACAAATATTAAATATTCTCTGCAATTTTCTGATTAAAAATAATCATTTTACGCAATTAAAAAACCAAACAATCTCAAAAACTTATCTAACTTTACTTTCTGAAACTGCAAACGATATTTTAATTTAATCGAACATATATCTTTCCACAAGACCAATTACGGACGATTTTTTGTTTCCATTTAAGTTAAAGTTGCAGTCAGCTAGCATTTCCTCTGGAAGCTATCTCCTTATTTTTAATTACATCGTCGCGTTTGCTTCTTTTGTTTGCTGTAAAGCACATTGTAATTCAGAAATCAAATAAAGCGGAATAAAACAATAAAAAGAAAGTGCAAAAAAATCAACCAAAACAAAAGCCACGCAAACACAAAACGACAAACAAATGGCGCGAAATTAAAAAAAAAACTAAATTTCACCGTTTTTAATTGAAGAATCCTAGAAAAATAATTGTCTTCTCCTGTTATATTTATATCTTTTTTGTCAGCATACAGGCGGGAGGAAAAGGATTAGAAAAAATATTAGAATTTTTTTAGTTATTTTTCGTGCTTTTAAACGATACTCCGTGACTTGGTTACTTAATTAAGTTTGTTGACGCATGCGCAAAACGAATGAATTTTCCTGCGAGTAGTTGGTGGAAAATACGAAAATGGATCCAATTAAATAAAAGTACAAATAATGCATACGAACCGAGCACACAAATCATAAATGAAATTTGTGATAAAAGACCTGAGGGGTTTGAAAACTGGAATAAATTTGCGAGGATTGTTGATTTGGAATAAAACTTGTTCTGAATAATTAAATTAGTTTCGTTGCAAAATAAATTCTTAAAATAAATATTTATGTTCTTCTTTCAAAATTTGATTGATTATTAAAAGAATTATTCGTCTGTTATTTCTCATTAATAAGTATTAATAAAAGTAAAACATAATAATTGGGTCTATTTATTTATTTATAAATTAAATCTCTTCAAAAGTCAGAAAAAAAGCAATATTCAATTTTCATTCAATTTTATTTTTCAAATTTAGCAGCAATCTGATAAGAAGAAGTTAGACAAACTGCAAATTTTTATGCAAACATAGGATTTAGATAAGTAAATAGATAACATTCTATCAATTTTAGTAATACAAAGCACTATGTCGTTATATCCAAAAGATTTTTTATAGAAAAATTCAAACGAGTTATCAATTTTTTTGCGATCTATTCAGTGCACAGTCAACTTCAGTGCACAGTGATATGTCAACTTTTTTTCCACGTTTTTCATACAGATAAAAAAAAAATTTTTTTTTGAACTGAAAGAACTGAAATATTCGTCTGTAGAAAATTTCTGCTACCACATTAATGCCATTTGCTTTAACTTTTTGAGAAAAGATACTTACAATAAAAAACTTCACTTGTCGGAGGGGGGTACTTGTGTCAAACTTCGCCTTTGCCCATTCATCGTTTCCATTAAAGCCAGTGAGGAAATTGCTTAAAAGATGTGGAAGATGTGGAGAAGTCATGTGGAGATGGGTACTTGAGACTACGTATCCTTTTGCTCGTTCATTGTGTCCATAACAGTCAGCGAGGTTGATAAATTGCTGAAAAAAAGATGAAGTAATATGGAGGGGCAAATATACAACTTCATTTAATCCAAAAACCGAAATACAAATAGGTAGAAGCATGTTTTGGCACCCTCGCCTACTGATCTAAGTTGGGTAAAATAGAATGGCCTTCATGCCTGAAGGGATACTACCAGGAGTGAACACCAACAGGAACACCCCTTCCCGACACGATGAGGCAATCAGTAAAACTTGGAAAGGTTATGGAATGGCAATAAGAGTTCCTCTCCTAAAGATGGTGGTAAAATCTTCGCCATCTGCTTAAAAGGCCCCGATCATAAGGCAGCCGCCAAACAAATTCTGTAACATTTGGGCCACACCAATGAGGAAATTTATTTAAATCCACTCCTTGTCATTGACTTTCTTCGAGTTGCTGGTCTTTTGGACCTGGTCTGACTTCGTCAGACTTTAGAAGATTAATAACTACAGCAACAACATGAAAAAGGATATCGTTCTTCCCTTTGCTTATGTTAGGTTATGGAATTAGGTTATTGCTTAGGTTATTAGGATTTAGGTTAGGTTAGGTTAGGTTAGGTACGTCAGACTTTAGAAGATTAATAACTATAGCAACAACATGAAAAAGGATATCGTTCTTCCCTTTGCTTATGTTAGGTTATGGAATTAGGTTATTGCTTAGGTTATTAGGATTTAGGTTAGGTTATTGCTTAGGTTATTAGGATTTAGGTTAGGTTATTGCTTTGTTAGGTTATGGAATGGCAATAAGAGTTCCTCTCCTAAAGATGGTGGTAAACTCTTCGCCATCTGCTTAAAAGGCCCCGATCATAAGGCATCCGCCAAACACATTCTGGAACATTTGGGCCACACCAATGAGGAAATTTATTGAAATCCACTCCTTGTCATTGACTTTCTTCGAGTTGCTGGTCTTTTGGACCTGGTCTGACCTCGTCAGACTTTAGAAGATTAATAACTACAGCAACAGCATGAAAAAGGATATCGTTCTTCCCTTTGCTTTGTTTTAAGGCTGGATGCATTTATGCATAAGTTTAATGTATTAAATTGTAGTCTTGATGACGGTCATATCACTGATAATGTGAGCCGCAATCGGTCTAATGTATTTCTCTTCTTCTAGTCTCAAGTACTGAAAAATATCCTTAAAGCTAGCTGTATTTTGTGTTTCAGAGCTTCATGAAAAAATTTCTGGTTTAATTTATGCAACCTGCTTATCTAACCTTTCTATTTTAAGATTTTTACTGTGGTCTCTGTTTCGTATGATCCATTTTGCCTTAGTTAATTTTCTCAGAACTTCATTGCGAAAATTGATACGTTTCTTCATTTGCGTTTTTGAAATGTTGTCGCATGCTCCTACTGCAAATGTGAGTATTGGTTTTAGTATGGAAACATAAATGAGTCGTTTCTGTTGGGTGGACAAAATTCGTTTAATTCTAATTTATTAATATATAAACGTGCTGTCCTCGCTACCGCTAAGAAAAATATTTTCTGAACCGACTGAAAATTCGTAGTAGTTTGAGTCCCTGCTTGCACACTTTTATTCTAATGGGTGAAATATAATACTTATTTGTTGCAACTTATTGGTTTTTGATAAAATACTTTTATAGTGATAAAAACAAAGTCTACTTTATTTATTTTTCAGCTCATTAAATATCATTAAAAGAAATTCCGACTATAATATTAATAACTTATTCAAGGCCAGCTTGAGAAAATATCTCTCATATATTTTTGACACCAACTAAAGTTTTTTTTCCTCTCAAACTACACGGAATTTTGTCGAACGATTTAAATTTTAAAAACAGTAATCGTTACAAAGCTCATCACTTTATTGTTTACCAGTGGAGTGAATAATGTTGCTCGCCTCCGTGACTTTGGTCATGAGATGCTCACCAGGCAACGCCAAAATGAGCAACACCACCGACATCTTCCATGACGAAGAACGACAAGTTCAGTGCCTATCATTGAAAAACAATTGTGGACTTGCTTGTAATAACCATAATACTTTTGTCTTTTCTTGAAGAACTCTTCAACTAATACAAAATGTCCATATTTTCAGGAAATAATTTTTTTAATGGTAATAAAAGGTATATGTATTTATGTTTTAACCCTCTCCGGAAGTTCAATGATTAGATAATTTTAAATGAAAGTTCAGTAACTAGATAAAAAGTTATTAAAATGTTCTCTTTTTTATCCTGTACATTGTACATAATATTTATTCGAGAAAAATGCAACTATGCGTTTTTAAAAAAAAAATTGCTCCTTTCCAAATGAATCTTGCTTTTGAGTATGTAAATAATTTCATACATGCTTTCTCTATGATCAAGTTTTCTCTTCTTTCAGTTTTTCATTCTACGCTATTTAATTTAATAAACTAATTCAATTTAATAAATTATACCTTTTAAATTTTTTCTTCCATTACTGAATAAAATACTAAATAATTCGAAAAGTGACATTTGCAAATGATTATTTTCGTGTAAATTTATTTTGAAATAATGTGAAAATTTTTTTTTGATTCATTTAAAATTTTTAGAGACAAGGTGAAATGCGTAAGCTAAATAAGTTAGTTTTGTACACTATGTGTACAAGACTTTCATTCACTCTCGTGTCTCACCATATTTTCTATATTGCGGCTTTCTTTCCACTTTTTGAGCGAGTAACTAATCCAAATCCTTCAAAAAATATAAATAAATTACGAACATATAATGACGATTAATTAAAAAAGAGAGAAAATTGTGATCTCATTATCGTGACCCATAGGTCAAATATTTTTTACCTATAGGTTACTTTAAGTTATGGGTTTGAGCTTCTATGGGTTTATCTTAGGTCTTACCCATTGGTTTTACCCATAGGTCAAATATTATTTTTTTTTCTTTTCTTTTTTTTCTCTTTTATTAGAATTTTTTTCAAGCACAAGAGCACCTCAAGCTATGAATTGCGACAACTGCATCAATTGATGTTTGTCCTTCGGTCGCTCAATAGGCTGGAATGCTTTTCAATGAGAAACTCTCAACTCCAGAAGAAGAAGACAGCTGATACACAATCACCACATCTATAACCTCAGCACCAAAGGGTTGATTATAAACAATATGACGTAATAACGTTACAGTGTTTAGGCTTGTTTTATTGTCAGATTTGTTTTCATCAATAAAGGAAACTAAATAGGAATAAATATAAAAAGGAAAATAAATAGAATAAACGGAAAAAAAACAGGTGAGCGCAAAGTTAAGAAGATAATAGGACCAAGAAGCTCCAAAATTATCTTCTGCTTTTTTCATTTAATCTGGTTGCACTGCTTTTTTTATAAATGCTAAAAATGGCCTGATTTTATACGTTAGTTGTAACTGTTTGTGTTTATAGTGTTGAAGTTGACCTATATGAAAATTTGCAGATATAACCAACATGCATTTTCCCAATGAATAGTAAGAAAATAAATTTATGTAAGTTAAATGAACTAGTGGTCGCAAAAATAATTTATTTATATTTCAATAATTTAAAATTAAAAGAATCTTCTCCATCACTATGCACAAGCAATTTAAACAGATATATATCAATATATAAAGTGATAAGAATGTTTAAGTTTAATAATTTTCTTTTTAAAAAAAAGCATCTGGTTTTTTGAACCATAGAGAAATATATAGTTTTCACTTTAATGTTAGAGCATGGAAAAAGACCTCACATTTTTTTCCGATCCACGTGAGTCTATCTGGTCCAAGCGGTTTTAGCGCCACGCTACGACTAAAAGCTTAACTGCCGTTTGGAATTTAGATTGATGAGTTTCATTTTCTTTTATTATTTTTAATTGAATTAATGAAATTTTTTAATAAACATTTGGTTATTTGTTTAATTTTAATTCTATAGAATACTTAAATGTTAATTATTTAAGGATATCGTGTTTTAATGAACACAAAAGTACATTTTGTTACATAAATTGCGTATATTTTAATTTCTTACCACTTTTCTTGTTCGTATGCTCATTTTTATGATGCATAAAATAAGATTTATATGAATGTCAGGCACCATTAATCATTTAAAACTAAAAGGATAATAGTGGAGAATTTTTCTTTTTTCAGTTTGAAGCAGGATTTTTCATATCACACAATAAAATAAATAAGGCAACAAGTGTAAATAAGAATTTAACAGAAACAGTTTTTTCGAATAACAGAACTAAAATCTGAAAGATATATAATGGATTATAGAAAATTTTATGCTTCTCTTAAATGCAGAATGCGAAAAAATTTCAAAACGATAACACAACTCCGCGTAATCCAATCGAAATTCAATAGTTTTTATTTAAATAAAGCATAAAACTCAACTTTAAAACAATAACTCCTTAAAAAAATATTATTCATTTAATCAGGCATAAATATAATACAGAAGTAAATAAAAATATGGCACATAGACATTACTTAATATACCGTGGAGTGTCATCTATTCACATCTACTGGAATAACAACTGTTTCCGTTTTAAGTGTTGCTAGAGGGCGCTGTAGGCAGTTGGTAGAGGAGAAACTTTACGAAACACGTCTTGATGACGTCAGAGTAGATAGTCTATAAGTATTATAATTCATGGTTCAGTTTCAGCTTATCGTTGAAAAATTAATTCGCAACAGCTTCAAATAGTTAGCCTCTCTGGTGAAATTTTATATTATATATATATATATATATACAGGGTGTCTCAGCTAAGCGTTTCAGAACTTCTAAGAGGGGTAGGGGGCATCCTGACGACTCGAAATCATANAAAAAATTTCTTCAAATTTAAAGTCTTCAAAATAATCTAGAATTTTTTGTATACTTTAGTTACACTTATTAATATCTTATAGACAGCAGTGTAGTTCATTGACATTTGCTTGAGAAAAAAAAATAGAAATTCACCAAATCTTGAATGCCAGAAAATGACATATTACCTTAGAAGTTTAGAAAACAGTCATTTTAAGTTAATAGTAAGTAACTCAATTTAAGCCTTTATATTAGATGGACCATAAATTGCTTAAATTAATTCTGTTTATGCACTGTAGAAAGAAACAAGAAAAATTTTGTTGCTGATATGTAAAGAATAAAATTGCGTATAATAATCAATCATCAAATAAATAAATAACTTTGATTACATCCAAGCATATCATACATAAACTTGGTATTAGGTTAATATTTGCTTTCCCTCTTTACAGTATTAGCAGTTAAGAAGAATTTCTGGTAACACTTCAATGTCTTGGCATTCATAAGCCAGAAAAATGACAGACAGGATAATGACAAATTCGCCATTTTATAGCATATAACTTTACTTTAATTTAATATTTTGGCCGAAGACGTTTTGTATATTCTGCAGAAAACAACAGTATTTCTTAAAATAACTCAGATAAATCAATGTAGTTTTTGTTATTAATGATTTCAAGAAGCCAGTAAAATGACAGCATTAAAACCTACTCACCTTAAAAAATTTTTTGAAATAGATTTTGAGCCAGAAAATTGGTTTTTTATTCATGCAACAAGACATGTTCTGATAGGAAGGTATCTAATCAATCTATTAACATAATTGATTTGATTCCTGGCGCTATCTATTTTGGTTGTAAATCACTAAATAAAAGTAGCCAGGAAAATGACAGATTTTCATGGGACAAACAAATTATTGACTGAAAAAATTATTTTAAACAATACCCTCTGCGTATATTCTAGAAATGCTTACATAGGATAAGATAAAAAAAATTAGATTTTGAAAAATGTATGGGAAGTTTTGAAGCTAGTTATTATTGGAAATATTGTTTGGGACATGCCAGGAAAATGACATTTTGATATTCAATTAAATTTTTTAAGTATACAAAACAGTCAATGCTAGTGCAAAGTC